AGTTAGATTATATGACCATATAGGGTTATTAATTATGTTAATCAGATCTAGTGTGCAATGTCTTAAATACAACACTGTGTGAATGTTTTTATCTGCAGTAGACACTGGTAACCGCTATATCCCCAGTCAGCAACATGCCAGGGGATTATAGTGGTTCGTTCCTAAAACAGATCTACATATTAGAGGGCCAAGTTCAAACTATTGTAATACATGAAAACAAAATTATGCAGAAGTCACTAAGAAATTTTCAATGCTATAAGTTTACAGCATTTCTGCTGACAACAACCATTTATCAGCTATTTAACAAAATGAAGTGTAAATTTCAAACACATAAGAATAAACTCACCTGTACATCGAATATACTACTAACAGGTTTATGGTCACTGATCTTAAGCGCCATGTGACCTCTATATTTCAACTGTCGAATACTCTCACCTCGATACAAGATTCTATCACACCATGCCGGTGCTCGGTTCTTTTCGCTGTAACGATGAAAAATAAAAAAAAACATTATAATACAAACCTTACACTTATGTGGTAAGGTTGAGAGAGTATCAAGCTGGTTTGGAAGATGTTGATTAAAGGGACATACCACTTTACAGCTGATATTAAAAATGTTGTTAATCAAAAAATCAGCATTGTAGGTTAGTGACATTACTCAATTTCTTGCAATTATCCAAAACTGAAGTCTTCATGTTGGTCTAATGTCCTGAATAATAAAATTGTATCGTTGGCAACACATAGCTGAAAGCCTTCTAAATTTTTAGTAGTTTGGTCAAAATACAAATCTGAAAGTTATGGCATTCACAAATTATAGAACAAGTTATACTGGTATTTGTGTGGTAAACAGGTCATATGGTGATATTTGTGTGGTAAACAGGTCATATGGTGATATATGTGTGGTAAACAGGTCATATGGTGATATCTGTGTGGTAAACAGGTCGTATGGTGATATTTGTGTAGTAAACAGATCATATGGTGATATCTGTGTGGTAAACAGGTCATATGGTTTTATATGTGTGGTAAACAGGTCATATGGTTTTATGTGTGTGGTAAACAGATCATGTGGTGATATTTGTGTGGTAAACAGGTCATATGGTTCTGTGTTTGATAAACAGGTCATATGGTGATATTTGTGTGGTAAACAGGTCGTATGGTGATATTTGTGTAGTAAACAGATCATATGGTGATATTTGTGTGGTAAACAGGTCATATGGTGATATCTGAGTGGTAAACAGGTCATATGGTTTTATATGTGTGGTAAACAGGTCATATGGTTTTATGTGTGTGGTAAACAGGTCATATGGTGATACCTGAGTGGTAAAAAGGTCATATGGTTCTATCTGTGTGGTAAACAGATCATGTGGTGATATTTGTGTGGTAAACAGGTCATATGGTTCTGTGTTTGATAAACAGGTCATATGGTGATATTTGTGTGGTAAACAGGTCATATGGTGATATACGTGTGGTAAACAGGTCATATGGTGATATACGTGTGGTAAACATGTCATATGGTGATATTTGTGTGGTAAACAGGTCATATGGTGATATGTGTGGTAAACTGGTCATATGGTGATATATGTGTGGTAAACAGGTCATATGGTGATATATGTGTGGTAAACATGTCATATGGTGATATATGTGTGGTAAACAGGTCATATGGTGATATACGTGTGGTAAACAGGTCATATGGTGATATCTGTGTGGTAAACAGGTCATATGGTGATATTTGTGTGGTAAACAGGTCATATGGTGATATTTGTGTGGTAAACAGGTCATATGGTGATATTTGTGTGGTAAACAGGTCATATGGTGATATCTGAGTGGTAAACAGGTCATATGGTTTTATTTGTGTGGTTAACAGGTCATATGGTGATATTTGTGTGGTAAACAGGTCATATGGTGATATTTGTGTGGTAAACAGGTCATACGGTTTTATTTGTGTGGTTAACAGGTCATATGGTTTTATTTGTGTGGTTAACAGGTCATATGGTGATATTTGTGTGGTAAACAGGTCATATGGTTCTATTTGTGTGGTTAACAGGTCATATTGTTCTATTTGTGTGGTAAACAGGTCATATGGTTCTATTTGTGTGGTAAACAGGTCATATGGTGATATCTGAGTGGTAAACAGGTCATATGGTGATATTTGTGTGGTAA